AAGAAAATATTGGAAACATCATTATCTGTGCCACCAAAGAATTACTTTAACTGAAGAGATCATGTTTTAGATTATATTTGGAAAATAACTGCAGTAGGTGGAGAAGGAGATCAATTCCTGTCTAGTCCCTAGTTCTACCCTCAACTACTCATTCATAGGAACTCAAGTAGAATCCAATAGAAAATGAGCAGCCAGCTTCACAGGCTGGTGGATAGCCAATGTTTGAACTCCTTTTGCATTTACAGAGCTTCTTTCCACCATCCTGGGCTTGGTTACTTTATTTTTTTCTTTTTGGTGGCACTGGGATTTGAACTTTGGGCTTCATACTTGTAAAGTAGGCATTCTACAGCTTGAACCACATTTCTAGTGCATTCGGCTACTTTTGATTGCTTAATTTACCACCTGCACACTCTTAAATTAGAACAACTTTCCCATATTAATACAACTGTTTTCTTCACAAAGTTGTTTCTTAGAAAAACTTTAAAAAGGTGAGGCTGAATTCCTTGCATTTCTTTTGTCTACACCCTGATTTCTTTGGCATAACATCAGTTTGTAGGTTTTGGACATTAAGACATATGCTAATAATCATTCATTAGACTAATCTGGTAAAAGTATCAGAAACTAGCTAACTTCCCCTTGATGGAATGATAATGAGCAACTGAGGAAAAAGTTTATTACCCTTTTTTGTATTCTTACATGAAATACATTTCGACAGTTACACTGATTTTTCTCAATGATAACACACTTTTTGTTTTATTTCTCACTTCATTTCACATTTTCTTTTGTTGTTTTTACAATAGACTTTAATTTTCTTAAAATAGATTTCTTACTAAAGCTGTTGAATACAATTACATTTGGATCTTTACAGTTTGAATGACGGCTCCTCTCTTCGTCAGTCATTTTATCAGTGCTGCACCAGGGAGCAGCATCGACGGGTCCCAGAACCTCTGAGCACCTCTGAATGTCCAGAAAGAAGTATTTCAACCTGCATGAAAAGTTCAGGAGCAAGCTAGGAATTTGCCCTTGATTTTGAAGGCTGGAATTGTCCTGCTTCAAGTTTTTCCTTCAATTTTAAATAGTCTCTTCTTTTAAAATATTTTATCTACTGGTGGGGACAGCTCTACTCGAAGGAGTGTCTCAGCTGGTGACACCAGGACGCATCCTCAGCGTTCTTGTCCAGACACCCACCACCAGTGCAGGTCGCGGGCTCCCCAGCAAGCCTGCCTTTCCTTCATGGACAGGGCTGCCATTCCTGCTGGGGGTCACGATGACATTTAATGGGCCTCCAATGTGGAGAGAGGAAGGAAAAAGTTGCCATCCCCTCCTAGCTGTAGGTTCCACTGAGCGCATTATGGCGTGGCCCAAGAGCCACCACTGCTCTGCAAACCTTATGTTTTCATTTTTTATTAGCATAGAAGAGTTGTTCAGTGGGGATACATTGTGACATTTACATATGTGCTTACAATATATCTTAATTAGGTTCAACCCCTCCATCACTCTCCCTCATCTCCCCTGCACCCCTCTTCGCAGGACAATTTCAACAGGTTTCATCATTCTATTTTCATACAGGAATACAAAATACATATGCCATATTTGCCCTCCTTCACCTTTTGCCCTCTCCCCTCCCCTTGGAACTCCCCCCCACCCTCCACCCAGACAGGACCTGTTTTACCTTCCTGTCCTTAATTTTTAAGTGTGTGTTGATTATTCAAGGGTTTGCCTTGGTATTTCAGACATGTACATATCGTGCTTTAATTTGATTAACCCCTCTATTACCTAGTCTCTCACAGTCGGCTTCCTTATTATTTATTGCCAGGCTCCCCATTATTGCACAGCGTACAGTACATTGCATCATATTGTCTTCACACACTGATGCAATGTGTTTCAATATTTCTCACTCTACCACTCTCTTTCTCTCTCTCACCTCAGACGGGCGAGAACACTGTCATGTTTTCTCTCTCTATCCTCTCTCATGGTCTCATTTTAAAGTGATTTAATTGATTTAGTTTGAGACTGAAAAATTTCAGGATGTCACGTCAGACCTTCCTCTTTGGGCAGCATTTTGGGTGATATTGTTTGTTCCCTGATAACACTTTTCTTGTCTGCCCATGTCATGTTAAGTGTGGATGGCACAGTAGAGCCTCTTGTTTGAACACAGGATCATGTCCTTCCCATGAGTACCTATTATACGGAAGGCACTGGGTGAGTTATGTTTTCTTTGGAATCTTACTTCTTTGTCAGTATCTTTTCTATGAGCTTGTCAGCCACATCTTTGAAGGAAATTTGATAGCATGGGTATTTGTTTTGGGGAGGATGGTCTTCCTACTGCCACCATGCTAAAATTCTTGGGGATGGTAAATCTACAATCCTTCTGTAGTAGGCAGCAGAAGTAGTTTGGAGAAAGAAACAGGAAAGGATGTGTAAAACATAATTTTCTTTGACTTCACATGAGGCATGACAGTCTTTATTGAGGGCACCCTGGAAGACAAAAAATTAACCAAAACTTGCATTAAGTATACTTGTAATTGTACATATAATTTAATCTGTTCAGTTAATTTCCATGTAAGCTAACAATGTACCTTACCTAGATAATGAGACATGATTTTCTTCCACACTGCTACTACCCTTCATTTGGTAAGATGGAAGATAATCTTGTTAATAAAATATAGTAACAATTCTAAATTATGCTATAAGGCAGTGATGCTTACAAGAGAAAGATCTGTTCTTTGGACGTGTCACCCTTCAGATCACTGGGTCCTCAGGTCCCCTGCAGGAATATGCAGGACCTGTTGAACATGATTCTAAGAGAGACCCAGGAACCTAGGAAGAGAGCAAAGCAAAGCAAGAGCACTGGGGCTACATGAATAGACACATATTTCATATTGTTCAAACCTTAATTTGTAGGTATATTATGTTAACAAAATCTTTTCTTTTTAATCTGTTTTGCTGAAGACTGAAAGTGGGTTTGGGGTTGGGCAGATGAGAGAGAGAATAAATCTTTATAGAACTAATGTACATAAAATATCTACCCAAAACATTAATTAATCTGAAGTTTTAAAATGCATTAATACCACAGTTTTTAACTGTGAATTCATTTAAGTACTATCATTATTGGCAAATATATTTTACATAAAAATGATACATGGTTCAAGTAAGACCTCTGAGCTGCTTTATCTGGAGTTCGCCCCCATTCTGCCATGCTCAAAACTCTTTTAGAAGTGTTTAGTCTGTCACTTTAAAATTTAAGAAGATAAGATTAATTTCTAACAGGGGGGAATTGGAATTATTTACTTTGAGCACAAACATATTAACATGTTGCAAATTGGCAGAACAAATTCTTGCAAACACTTTAAAAGAATGGCATGTTTTCCAAGCCTCTATTCTATGAAAGAAAAGGTATTTGTTATTGTAAATATTAACAATGACTAAGTTGTTTGGCATTTAATAAGTAATTCCTAAATCTGATGACTCTAGGATGAATGCATAAGAAAGTAGAAAAACTAAGGAGCAAACAAAGTCAGAATTCTTTCTTTTGGAATAAGCAAAATTCTAAAAAGGAACATTAGCTATGTTGCTGGTTTTCAGTTCAGGTTGTTTTGGGGACAATGTTTTCCTTTCCATCACTCCACCCCACTGCAGTTTTTAATTAAAAATACCTAGCGGTCTATTGATCTATTTGCCACCAGTTTAATGTGTGAAACAATGTGCTTACCACAACTAACCTCTCCCAGGTGACACTTGCTTATTTTCTGGATATTATGAGAGATGTGGCTGTGGAAGCAGATACTCCTATCTTTCTTTTGAACCCTTGGCCTTGTCCTGCCACCCTCACCCTAACAGTTGAGTAAATGTGGAGAACACATGTGTGTGTCAGTGTGCCACCATCCCAAGCTTAGCAGCATCACATTCCTGGTCTCATCTTTACTCCTTCTTTTTGTTCCTTATTAACCCTGCAAAGCATCCACTTCTTTTATTTGCAGGTGCATGCAGCTAGACTTTGGGATGTAGATAATTGTGTAAAGAGCCCTAAATTAGAAGTTAGGAACCTGCTTTTCAATCCCTCTCTGCTATTCACAGACTGAATTCTTGGGTGGGTTTTTCAGCTTCTGTGGCTTCTCTATCTCATTTGTAAAATGAGATTTAATGCTGGATGTGTCTTAAAGTCTCATCTGGGTTTAATATTCCCTGTTATACAAAATAGCCATTTCAAGGAAGAGAAATATAATTGGAATTTTTTGATGCATAGCTAGTGGAACACACAATTATGTTCATTTTGTAAACTGATTTTTTAAAAAATCTGTTGTTAAATGCTACTTCCTTGTTTTAAATATCTTTTAAAGACAAACTTGGGCTTTTTAACCTTCCATAATATATTCTGTGGTTTTCAGTAAAGGAGTTTAAGAACTTTGTATAATTAACAAATCATTCTAAATCAATGAAGATCCACCTCAATATAAATTAGAAGAAATGAATGTCCTAATTTATTTTTGTTCCAGACTAAAGACTGCAGTCTGAAGAATACATAAATAAGCTGGAAAAATAGAACCCATTGGAAAAAGCACATCTGTCCACCATCATCACACAAAAAGGCGCATTGTGTGGTCCCAAGAAAGATTACACAGCATCCGAAGGAGGAAGCTCTTTAAGAGAGAGAAAAAGAGAGATGAATAAGCAGGGAACCAAGGGTTCTGTGAGGAAAATCAAAGACTGGGTGGATAGAGCTGGAACTGGAGAAAGAATTTAGGCAAGAGGAAAAACCATGGACAAAAAGAGTTTTTAACTGGACATTCAGGCTTCATCTGAAGTTGAAAAATGGAGAAAAAAATAAGCCTGAGATTTTATTTATTATCACTAGATTTGAGTATGATGAGCAAAATATAATAAAAGAATGAACATGATGATCTCTAAAAAAGTTTATTTTTCATACAGTTTTCTAATCTATAATTTATCATTTGAATTCTGAATGCAGATCTATAACCTTTACAGTCACTGGATTGTAGCAAGAATTGTGGCTGAGCTGTGTAAAGATTAAAGGTAAGACACACAATATCCTCAAATTCTATGAAGAAGGAAAAAATTCCTTAACTTCTCTAAGTGGGCAGTGAATCTAGAATTTGGAAGTCTAATTAAATACAAGCTTTTCAATAGGTGAGGTGTTCTTCCTAGGTTAAAAAAAATGAAAATGGACAAATTTTCTTGTCGGTCCTTGTTGTGGCAGACAGTGTTGATTGACTTGCCCAATACTGAATCTCAGCCTTTTCTCCCTTTTCAACTCCAGTTACAGAGACTGAAAGTAAAATACTATTTTCTACTTCCTTTAGAACTGAAAGGACCATGAGGCTAAAGAGAGGTAAGTAGACATCTGTTGGGATCTTCTCTCTTCCCCCTGTTATTACTTCTCTGATGAGGATATATTGCCCTAAGTGCTGTAACAATTACCTTGTGAACATGAGGGAAAGGATAAATGAGTCAGACAATAGTCATTGTGTCATTGACTCTCTGAACCAATACCAGCAGCTGCTGGCTTCCAATCTTTTATTATATGATAAAGAGAATTCCCCACATGCTTAAATCCTTGCTAACTAGTTTTATTTTCTTATTGAGAAGCAGATTCTACTTTTGCTTCCATGACATACATGGGATCACTCTGATTCCACATTGAGATGGGAAGTGTTTTGTTCCAAGTCTCTTAAACTGCCTTCCATGAACAAATACAGTCCCTTCCCAGATGGACACATGAGTTTCCTAAGGTCACTCTACGTTTGCTGTGTAATAGAAGGAGGAGGAAGTAAGGCTTGTCTTAGAAATGTAAATGCTGTGCTCTCAGCAGAAGTAGATTTAAGTCATGGAACTTGACATGTTTTTCTGCTTTTCCTTACCACTTGATAGGACAAGCAGAAGGGCAAATAGCTCAGTCTCTCTCTCTCTCTGTGTGTGTGTGTGTGTATACACACTACTGTGGTATCTCTATACTCTATTCACTCCCAGGACATAGAAAGGCAGAGGAGGTGGGACTAGAATTTGGCACCACAACCAGAAGGAAGGAAACTTATGCTGAAGTCAGCATCAGGAAAGGGACTCCAAGCTTGCTGCAAACATCTGTAGTAAAAGAAAAGGCTTGACATATAAATGAATGCAGAACAACCTGAATGCCCTGGGAAGCCATACAAAATGCTGAGAAAATTTAGTTTTAATCATTCTGGGTGGGGAAATAGGGAATGTTCATAAAAAGGTGGAGAAGGTGGGGAAAGGGTAGTCTGATGAGCTCATTTTCTCTGCTAGTCACTCAGAGCATATTAGCATGAAAGTAACCAGTCACATAAATGAAATGTGTGCACCTTGGATATGTTACTATGCTCACTAGAACAACCTCCATTTTCCTATGTAACCCATAACACCATGTTGTGTACCTAAATATACACAATACCATTTTTAAAAGAAATGATAATATGCAAATACCTCCAATTACACAGAAAGAAACCAAGAAAAAGAGAGAAAGAAAGAAAGAAAGAAAAGAGAAAGAAAGAAATGAGTGCATGATGGATACATTAATGTGTTTGCCCTGGTAAACGCTCTATATAAGCTATGACATCATGTTGTAATCCTTGAAAATATACAATGCAATTTATTTATTTACTTTTTAAAAGAAAGTACAATATACAAAATCTCCTATTACAAAACAAGAAAGAAAGAAAGGAAGGAAGAAATGTGAACACATGAAAACTGAGCCATGTTGGATAAGTAACTGTTCATGGAGACAGTCCATGGAAGGTCTAACTGGTACAATCTCCAAATCTGCATGACACTTTGAAAACATTAATGGAAAATTGCTGTACTGCTAGTGCAGCACGCAAAATGAGAAATAAATTACAATAAAAATGACACTCATTGGAGATGTCCATCTTTTGTAATATTTACATGAAGTCATAGCAGCGGTAAGAAAATCCTTGCCACAGCCTCTTCAAGTGTTTCTCAATAAAAATTATGAAATATGTGACAGAGGCTGATGTTGGCATAGAGCAAATGAAGATTTAACTATCAATGGTGAATAATATTCATATTGTCATATTATGACCTGGCATCTTATTTGTGCTCAGACAAGAGGATATTGAATTATACTAATATAAGGCAGTTAGTTTATTTCATTTAACTCCCAAACACATTTAAAGTGAGCTTTCTTTATCATGAAAGAATGTCAAGTCACTTGCAAAGAGCTAAGAGTCTGACTTGAAAATCAGAATTCTCTTGTTAATTATGAAAATTTCAAGCTTTCTAACCCATACAGTCTAGAGAATTGAAATAATCGTTTATATGAAATTTGGCTTTTTGCCATAGAAATTGTAGCCTTGATGGTATTTCAGGAATTATTTAGAAATCCTTTATTAAGCATCAATATCTTTGAGAAAATGAAATGGATTAATGTAGATATATTAGGACTTAAAGTTAGGCAGTAATCATTTACACATTGGTTACCTGTCATGTTTATTCATTTTTCTTGGCCACCAGTGATTGCTGATGGAGGAAGAAATTTTAAAGAAAATAACTCAAAACCTGATGACTCTATAGTCAGAGGCAGCACACATATTTACCTGGATGTCAAAGTTGAGAAGGAGAAATACAAAGCTTGGTTAATATTCTGAAGAGTATTGGTGAGTATGATCTAATTGGTGGGTTTTCCATTGATTCCCTAGAGACTGAAAAAGGTTGACTGTCAGGAAATGTCTTGTGTTTATTCTTCAATTTTCCTTTTTATACTTTCCAATCATTAATCCCTATTAAGATCTCTCTATGGGCCACCTTAAGTGATTCCTCATTTTATATTTTATTTTTATTAAGTTTGAACAATAAATCTTTTATGTTGAACAATTTTAAATTCACTGAAAACTTGTAAAGGCGATTCCTCATTTTAATGGCATTTATAGTCTTTTTATATTTTCCCCATTTGTTGCTATCTTGCCAAATTAAACGTTTTCTTAATCTTCACTCATAATTTAATTTCTATGACATTTTAATATTCATAAAACATTTCTTTAAATGTGTCTGTCTTTTAAACATCCCATTTGAATGTACTTGTGTCTATAAGGGATGAAATTTGGAATTACATATGCTATTTCACTACTATGTAATTACTATGTAATCACGAGTTTCAGCATTTGTTCAAAGATAATTTGCTTCAGTGGAATTCCCCTTGACCCAAGCACTTTGTCTTTATGTTCTTTAAAATAACTAATTTTCCCTGGTAAGAGACCAAATCATTCATTTAATCTCTAGTGAAGTGTGTTGTCGGTATCCAAAGGAGCAGAGTGGACACACCTGTGCCCTCAGCCTTTTTGACATAGTTCATGCTGCTACAGGCACATTATTTCTGGGATTTCCCCCTGACGTATGCAGGATAATCCTCAGGCAGTTCTTTAGGGAGTACTTGTTATTCTTTTTTATGGATGAGTGCAAGAATCTTGTACACCCGGGAAAAACTGTTGGACTGTTTGTTCTAATGGTAATTTATCTGAGAAAATGTGGAGCTCCTAATGTATCCAGAGGGATTCCCTCCAGTCCTTAAATTGTATTGAGCAGAACTGTGACTCATTTAGAAGGAGTGAGGGTGGCTTGTGCATGGAATTTGAATAAGACATACAGCTATTTGTAGTCTTTAATCTTATTCTAGTTGGAATAATTTTAGTCTTGTACTTCAGTGTTTTGGGAAGAAAAAATTTAGGCAAAAACAGGACTTAGTCATTTCAAGAAATGAAGAACTTCCAAAACTGTGAGACAAAACAAAATTTTTCTCTTTGTAAGGTGTTTGTTATAGTAATAGAAAGCTGACCAACATAAGGGACTCCTACAGAATTAATCTTTATCGTCCTAAAAATATGTGTATATGTATATATGCATATATATAGTTCCAGCTCCAGACAAAGTTTCCTTTGGGTTCTAAGCAGTTTACAAATCTAGAGAGTCTCTGTGTAAAGTGTCATTTGTCTATTTATTGTGTGTTTCCCTAAATGACTACTGTCATCTCCCAATGGTCATTAATATTCTTTCCCAAAGGTTCCATCTGTCAGAAATGGTGAAATGTGATCCAGCATAAATAGGATGAGGTATTTTCATTGGTTCTTGTGGTCTACCATGGCTTGCTGCTGTTCCCATGGGGAGACAGATCTTTTCAATACAGTTGGAAAGTTTCAAGGCTCCAAGTGTCAAACCAGGAGAGGTGCAGCAGTTCTCAGAGAGAACTAAACAAACAGCTGACAATTCTTTCTCCATTTCTCTGTTAGTACATGTTCTACATGTCTGCGTTTAAATTTCACTTTTTCACACTTGTTTGAACTAAAACTTGTGTTCACTTTGCGCCAATAAAAGCTACAAAAAAAATCTGTACTGCTAAGTAATACTACTATGATAGTCTAGTAAAGTGACAGGTTAAATGATTATAATATAATCACGTGGACAAGGTTTTTGAAGAAAATATTTTCAAGGTATAATAAAATTCACTACTGTAACTATTATTTATACATTTGAAATTAGATTTATACCTACATTTTAAGTATTTAGTATTCCATGGCATTTTATCCTTGAAGCAAATTGAAGGATAGATATGTTATACAGGTTTAGTTTAAGATAATAAATAATTAGTAGAAGAACTGATATTGGATGTTAGCAAATGCCTTCAAAAAGCTATGTACCTGTGCTAGAAAATATGGTTTTGATGAAGTAAATTACTTAGAAAATTATTATTGATTTGTTTTTATGATCTTAAATATTGTACAAGCTTTCTGGAAAGTAATTTTTTGGGTGGTACTGGGATTTGCACTCGGGGTTTTGCACTTGTAGGCAAGCATGCTACTGTTTGAGCTATATCTCCAGTCCTTGGAGAACAATTTTAAAAACTAAGTTTTCATACCCTTTAACTAAAAAGTCTAAGAATATGTTCTAAGTAAGTAATTTGATATTTACTCAGCACACAAATCTCCTTCAAAGTGTTCACATGTGTGATTTAGAATAAGTAACAGCAGCACTGGCTTCTATTACAATGAAACACCCCAAATTTATAACTCAATATATAGAAAAGTATATTGTTTGCTCAAATAAATCCCCAAATGCAGGGTCCTGATGAGTGGGTATACATACAATAATTCAGAGCCTCGAACACCTTTCATCTTATGATTCTTGCAGTTCCTGAGGCTTAGGTGTCCTCTGCCTTTGGGTAACCTGAATGGAAGAAGGCATATGAAGGTCATATGGAACATATTTCATTCTGAGTCAGTTGGGGCATAGATCATTCCTGCATGTGTTTCATCAGCCACACACAATCTATGGCCCCCCAACAGTAAGATAAGCTAGGAAATGCTCTCCAGGTGTGTTCTTGGGCAATAGAAGAGGTAAAGTTTGGTGAACTCATAATAATCTCTCTACAGAACTATAACTATGACTACATTTTAGAGTGAATTATATCTATATAGTACAATACTGACTAGTTATGAAACAAATTATGATTTAAAACAATGAAAAGATATTCCGGATACATTGTGGGAAAAGTTCGGATTACAGACAATGCTTTTGGCACAAGTTTCTAGTTGTTCACATGTCATGACCTATGACTTACTCTGTCATTGAAAGCTGACAGAGTAAAACTTAGGAAATGCTATTATCTTAGTTCAGTCATACTTCCTGCTTTCTCAAACTTTCGTTCCTTTTCTTTTCCCTCTTAATATGCTAAGCATGGCAGGTAGGAAGATTTCTTACAGTGGAATCTGATAGATGCAAGTTTGAATATGGATTTTGTCATTCATTAGCTAGGTTAACTGAACCCAATTAGTTAATTTATATGAGGTTTTATTTCTTTTTATTTTGTAAAAATAGAAAATAGTAATAATAATGTACTTTGTAAGGTCATTATGAAGACCAAATAAAATTACATGTGTCTATGAATATAATATAATGTACTGTATCATACGCTGTAGAATAATAGGAGAACATGGTGATGGAGAAAGAGTAAGTAATGAAAGGATTAACCTGATTAAAACATGATAAATCCGGGCTTGAAGCACCAAGGTGAATCCCCCTTGGACTATCAATACACACTTAATAAAAAGAAATGAAGGACAGGAGGGTAAAATAGGTCCTCTCCTGCAGTGAGGACTAGTGGGAGGGTGGGTAGACATAAGGAAAGTGTGAATATGGTTGATGTATTTTGTATCTATTTATGAAAATAGAAAAATGAAACCTACTGAAATTCTTGTAAGAAAGGGTGGGGATGAGGGAAAGTTATGGGAGGGGTAAATCTTAAATTTAAGATATATTGCAAGCTCATCTGTAAATATCATGACGTAGCCCCATGTACAACTATTATATGTTAATAAATTTTTTTTAAAAACAAAAAATAAAATAAAATTACATGCATAATAGATTTAGCAAAGTATCTAGCACATAGTATGTACTTTGAAAAGCCCAAATAATCAGTGCTATCAATTGTCATTTTTATGATATCCAGCAAGTCAGGTTATTCTAAATAGATTAGTAATTTCTTAAAACCATATTTGACTGACTAACACTTTTCACTGTTATCTCCTTAGCCTCCAATAGTTCAATATATTTTGAAGTTTGTTTCAAAATCCAGCATCTTCTCATAAATCTTCCAAAGTATATATCATGAGCTAAGACTATCCCAAATTTTGAACAAATATTTAATTTTAATTTTAATTATGTTTGACACTGGGCAGTGTTTTCTCTCCTAACTAAATACTGTGAACTGTCTTCAAACATTGAGGTGGGTGATTGTAAACTCTGTCAGACATTATGGGTTGCCTACCACACAGCCATCATCTCCCCACTCCTCAGCAAAGTCTGTTTCTCACTAGGGAAGCTGAAAATATCAGACTCTGGCCAGCCCCATATTTCTTGCAGCTACAGCGTAAGCATGTGATCCAATTCTGTCTGGTGGCCCTAAAGAGAAATTTATTTGGGAAATCTCAGAAAGGTCTTCCTTCTCGTAGTGGATTGACTGTTGTCTTAGCTGTCTGAACTTCCTTGTATCTAAACCCATGAATGTCTTCATGGTTTGTTCCTTCTCTTATTTAGAGGTCTTTTTTCCCACCTCTTGATTTTATGCTGATCTCATCATCTAATTTGAGCAACAGAATATAGCAGAAGTGATATTGCACCATTTTGAAATGTTGCCCAAGAAACCTTGACCAATGGGGATTCAGAATGACAGAGGAAGGAGTTTAGTAGACTCTTTCCCTAGTAAAATGATAATTTCACTGGTGAACATAAAAAAAAAAAAGTTCATTAGTTTCGTGAAATTTTCCTGAAAGCATACACCAAATAGAGAAGTGTTTATTCAAAAAAAAGTCTACTAAATCAGTAGAAAGAGTAAGTCTGGAACTACAGCCACCGTTTTGGAACTGTGAAGGGAAACACTGGCCACTCTGCGATGAGAGAAAGAATAGAGACCATTGATAACTTCATTGACTCCTGGATCAACTCACTCTTAGACTGTCTACGTGCTGATTTCTTGTTAAATTACAAAATAAATTTTCATTGTTTAAGTAATTTTATTCTAGATTTATTTTTGCAAACTCACTGGCATTCATCTGATTCTCTGACTGGAACTGATCTGCGGCAAAAGCACAAGGTGTGAGGTTGGCACTTGGTGTTCTTTCTAAAGTGTTGTCACTTACATACGCACTCATTCCCACCTGCTGCAAAGT